CCCCCCCCCCCTCTCTCTTTCTTGTATCTCATTATTTTTTAACCTTGTCAATTTTAATAATATTTTTGATGTCTGTTTTGTTTCAACAATTTAATAGTATTTGTTAACACTTTCTTATTTTTTTTATTGGAATGAAATGAAATAATATATTTTTATCCTTTTTATTTATTTCTTTTATTGAATTCTGTATTTAAATAATTTTAACTAATTTTTTTAACTTTTTAAAATAGTTTAATGTCATATTTGTAATAAGATTTGAGTAAATAAATATATCTAATGAGATTATTTTAATGAAGGATAATTTTGTAAAAAATATTTATATACCTAGGAATCTTGTATGAATATTCCCAAAGACCTTTATGAGTAACTAAATATATTTTAACTATTCACAGGAATCATGATTCCTAGGTATAAAAAAAAAATTTCCTACAAAACGTCCCCTTAATGACATTACAAGATTGTTGACATTACCTTCTTTGAAGAAGCATCTTTCTTTCCTTCTTCCATGCAATATCAAATAGTATTTTATTCTATGCATTGTACATGGATGTTTATTATACATAATTAAAATTTATAATAAATTATATATAAAAATAAGGTTTAATTATGTTTTCAGTCCTCCAAATTTAGGGTAATTATATTTTGGTCCCCAAATTTAAAATTTGTTTTTAGCCTTTGTAATTTAAAAAAAAAAATTAGTCCTTGTATATATTCTTTTGGTCCCTCAAACTTAAAACATGTTTTTAATCTTCAAAATATAAAAATTATTATTTTAGTCCCTCAAATTTAAAATGTCACTTTAGTCCCTGTAATTTCAAAAATATTAATTTAGTCCCTCATGACCACTGAAAACATAATTGATAGTGATAGATTAAAACAATTTTGTAGTATTAGTTTGTTTAATGTGATGTTTTCATAGACAATGACAGAAGTAATAACATAATTGACAATTATAGATTAAGACAATTTTTGTAGTATTAGTTGGTCTAATATGATGTCTTTATCGACAATGACACTAACTAGTAAAAGAATTTTATGCAACAGATTAATTAATGACATTTGAGAAGAGGGACTAAAATAATAATGTTTTATATTTTAGGGGCTAAAAACACATTTTAAATTTGAGGACCAAAATAATAATTTTTTTATATTTTAGGGAATAAAAACACAGTTTTAAATTTTAGGAACCAAAAAAATACATACCTCAAATTTGAAGAACTAAAATCATAATTAAACCTATAAATAAATACTATGTTTGAATATATAAATTATATCTTAAATTTGTATAAATAGATTTTAAACATATAAATTGTATTTTAAATTTATGATAAATCATTTATACTGTAGCACAAAATTATTTTTTTATTGATAATTTATTTTAAAATAATAATATTTAATTCATAAATAATTATTATAAATAAAAAACTGAATTAAGTAGTTAAAAAAATTCCTAAAAATACTCGCGCAAGATAGCGATTCATGTTTAATATATAGGAATTGATTTTTTTCAACAAGTCTTGTCCCATCTTTCGACTCATTGTTGTCACCTAGCCAAAAGACTTCTAATCAAGAAGAAAATCAGCCTCAATGTCTAGCCAATAGACCACCTAAATCACCCCCACCACCTCTCCTCACATACTAGCACAAGACACAAAGAAATTACATGAAGATCCATATGATTCACACCTCTTCCATCAATTGCTCATACAACAGATCCAAACCATGAGAAATCCAGTTAGCATATTGCTAAAGGAAAGGTATTCAATCAACTTGAAATTTTCATCCTATTTATAATTTTTTGAATTATCAACTATCTCCTTCCTATTTCTCCTTTGTTTCCTCTATCTTCTATTACTATTCCCAAAAATATTTGTGATGCACTTTATCCTAGAAGGTGACAAGCCATGATTGTTGAAATGCAGGCTCTCAAAAATAGTGTTACGTGAGAGTTGGTTTCTCTTCCTTGAAAAGACGGCAATAGGTTGCAAATGGGTATATGCTATTAAATTTGACCCAAATGGTGAGGTTGATTGTCTTAAAGCCATATTAGTAGCAAAAGGATACACTCAAATATGGTCTTGACTACGATGATACTTTTTCTCCTGTGGCCAAAATTGCCACTCTTTCTTGCTATGGTTGTTATCGTCATTGGCCTCTCAATTAGTTAGGTGTTAAAAATGCCTTTCTTCGTGGTAAACTAGATGAGAAGATTTAAAGGAGCAACCTCCTAGGTTTGTTGCTGAGGGGGAGTCTCGGTTAGTTTGCAAACTACTTCAATCTCTATGGTTTTAAATAGTCACCAAGAGCATGGTTTAGGAAGTTTAGTCAGATTGCTTAGAATTTTGGGATGAAGTGCAGTGAAGTAGATCATTCAATTTTTTATTGCCACACTTCTCCTAAAAAGTGTTTACTTTGTTGTTTGTGTTGATGATAGTCATTACAGGTAGCGGTGATGGTAAAATTTTGCGGCTGAAAAACCACATATTTAGTCATTTTCAAATCAAAGATATTGGCAGTCTGAATTACTTCTTGGCTATTGAAGTGGCTCAATCAAATGAAGGCATTGTTATCTCTAGAAAGAGTGGGCTTTGGGTGGTTTGGGTGGA